ACGATAGCATCGTCTACCGATTATATTGATGGGAGTGTGGGACATAAACTCTTTAAGCTACGGATTAGAATTCTATAAGATATACAGTGTCAGTCACGTTAAAGTGTACATATGAAAATAGATGAAACTAGACCTATTTTTATCGACAAAAAAGAGGTCAAAAAATTTTTGTGATTTTTTTTTTAATTCTTTATAGATTTTTTTTTCTTCCAATTAATTATTGTAAAGAAAACGTAAAAACTTTTAAACTAAGCGGTATATCCTGATAAAATAAAAACAGTAATAATGCTAAATAACAGGCAATACTAAAAAAATACATAAAATACACAAAAAAGGCCAACAAATAATAAAAAATGATACTTTTTGAAAAAAATCTGCTTTTAAATTCGTGTTTTTTGGTTATTTGATAAATTTCTCCAAAAAATGCCCCTATAACAGGTGGTTTTTATTACTTTGTATTATTCTCTATCGTATTACCTTCCTAAAACCAAAAATCGCATGTCTCTATCCATATCACAACGTTTGCAATGATCGTTTGAACTAAGTCTCTCCGGGCGCGCCATTCAACGCTTCGTTAACAACGAAACTGAAAATGGCTCTAGATTTGTAATTTTGATAAAGACAAGTTAGATTTCAAATAAAAACAAAAGATTTCGAAGTAAAATAAGCATTTTAGTTAAAANATCGCCTGTTATTTAGCATTATTAATGTTTTTATTTTATCAGGATATACCGCATAGTTTAAAAGTTATTACGTTTTCTTTACAATAAGTAATTGGAAGAAAAAAAATTCTGTAAAAAATTAAAAAAAAATCTCAAAAAATTTTTGACCTCTTTTTTGTCGATAAAAATAGATCTAGTTTCATCTATTTTCATATGTACACTTTAACGTGACTCACACTGTATATTGGTACGAGTATAGCCCACCGACAACACAGCCAACCATTTATTTTTATTGTAAAGACTTTATTTTCAGTGGTAGTATTGTGGTGGACTGTTATTAGTAACAATTTAGCAATAATTTCGGGAAATCAAACTAAAAAGTCTAAGAAACAGTACTTGATCCTAGCTAGCTGAGCCGATTGAGTCTAGAAAATCCCTCCACCTAAGTTTGTAGGACGTAGAGACGGTGGAAAAACCACGATCGGACCGTTTTTAAACAGCGTTCGGGAACGTAAATTATTGCTCTCAACGCCCCTGTTCTAAGGATTTATTACGAACAAGCCAAGGCACACTGGCACCCTAAAATCTTTCGTGAAGACCCAGCTTTTGTAGCAGATCTTGTTGATAAACCGATTTGAGAGCGACCTTTTGGCATCTTTAAAACAAATGACTTCTGTTTCTGAATTTTTATGAACTTGAAAGTATAATGTTAAGCTTTAAAATGTAAAGTCTATTTAGAACTTTACATATTTTTTATTGTTTAAAAGTTTCCAAAAAGTTTGGTAAGATGTCACGAGTTTGCATAAGTATTTATCTAAGTAGGCTTTCAATTAATAATAACTTAACATCATTTTAAAAAATCTTATCTTATTGCTTTGCGCTTCTTTCATTCTTTTTTCAAAGACTAATAGCTAGGTTATCATTAGTAACTCTCATAATAAGATAATTCATTTTCCAGGTGAACAAACATCTGAAAATGGTTAAAGAATACCTCACCCTTTTCATTAAACCGACCCAATGCTTCCGCGCAATATTGCCGTCGACTACTTTGTAAAAAATCATCTTCCCCATTCTATAAACACTAACTTGGCCATAGTAAACAAAGTTGCAGCCGTTCTCTATGCGTGCCAAGGAAAAAACAAAGAACGTTCTGCAACCTTACGATTATGCTGAAAAGCTTCTTGTAGTTTAGAATGTTTTATTGGACTTACTTTCTTTCGCCGTGGATTTCAAGGGAGAACTAAAAAGTATGTAAATGCAAGTTCTTTATTATTCAAAGCTAGGTTGTGATTTCTTTCCTGTTATGTTCAAAATTGTTCTTTTTATTCTAAGTTTGTTGAGCGTTAGGCAAATAGTCTCAGGAAAATAAAATCTTTAAAGGGTAACACTGCTATACATACAGCTTATCCTTCTAATTTTTATTTTCCTTTTATTCGTGATTTTGATAAAAAGTTGGAAACTTAGGTAAGTACTCAGCTGTAAAATATAACAAATAACAAAAAAAGTAATTATAACTACGGTCTAACAGTTCATAAAGATATTCCTGTAAAATACGGACTCGGCTTTAAATTATGGCCGGGGAAGTACTTCGAAACGAATATTTTTTCCGCTTCCTAGGGTTCTTTGCCGAACGAATTAAACGGAGTGAGCTCTATTGTTTTTGACCGCTCATTTTTCTGCGTAAAACTCATAACCAGACAAAGTTGAAAAATTTTAATATTTTACCTAAACCTATAAATCTATTTCGGGATTTAGATCATTATATAAAGTAAAAAATAAAGAGTTTAAATGATTCTCGATTTTATTATGATTTAGCATTTAAGTTGCTGAACTTATCTCAAACTAAACTATCAAACTTAAAAGAATCGACTTACATCAGGGAGGAATTCTTACGATTTTCGCCAAGTCTTTTAATTTATTTGTTTAATGTTAAGAACCATCCCACTGAGGATCTAAAATAAATATACTGCATTACAATACAACTTAGAATAGTGGTATTTAATTGATCCTCTCTATATCATTGCACGACACCCTTGCTGATAGAGTCAATTTCAAGTGTCAGTTTAGATCTCGTTTCTCGGCGCATACCACAGAATCTCCCCCTTCAAAGAATCTTTCTACTTTATCAGTAGTATGGTTTTCACCATTTTAAGCTACCGTCACCTCTCATACAAAACCACCATTGGGCTAAAACAACTCTCTCTTGCCGGAACTTTTCCTTGCCGTCAGCACTGAATGTCAACAAAGGATTTCAAACACTTTTAATTACAAATGAAGAGACTCAGCAGTTTTTAGGGAGACAAATCAGGTTTTTAATTTAATTTTATGCAAATCCTAATTAACTTACTGTGACTGAGTTCTGTGAATCTTTAAAAATATGTCTGTGAGTACAACTTGTAAAAAAAATTGGTAGGCTTTTCTAGCTGAGTTTCTATTGTCCCTTAAAAAGTATGTTATTGTAAATTTATTTCTGCAAGTTACAAATGCATGTACTTAGTTAAATAATAACATACAATTTATTTCACCTTTGATGAAGATAGCAATATCATTAGTAAAGAAAATTTCGTAATTAAACGATGTCGTATGAAACAAACATAAAATCTAAAGAGAAATCGTTTCTCTTCATGTTGCTACCGCAATCATTTTCATATTACTGAAACGCTACATTTATATTTTTATGTTTTAAGAGCCAACAAGGTTCTTTGTTCGACAGTCGTTTGATGTATTCGATAAAAGGCACTTAGGCTGTGTTGTGTACAGATTGAGTCGTGTGCCGTACATAATACATGGCATATAGTGGGTACATAGACACATTAGTAAGATTGAAAGCTCTTCGCCGATGTTAGAATTGCAAAATAGTGGCAGCACCGCTCTCTGATGCCGTTTGCTTCAAAAGAAAACACCTCTTTTGGGTCTTTTGCGCACAAATTGAATTTGAGTGGACTGAAAAATATAGCCAAGTGAGAAAAATCACGGGAAAATTGCCAAAGAAAATGCTTTGGAGATATTTTGCAGGCAGTGTCTCAAGTATAAAATAAAAAGCTAAAATGTTTATAAAGAAAAAAAAACATAATTTAACTTCAAGTATGAATTTAAATTTAATATCCTGAAAATTCGCGCGAATGAACAATGAACATTGAAGTTTTTTAAATACGGGCGCTTGATCACAATCTCGCCCAAGGGTTTTAAGTTCGCAAATTACAGTACAAAGGGAAAGTTGAAAACAATTGAAAATCTAAGTTTAATCTATTGTTCCGTAATGAGCAGCCACTCATATTTCCTCAGTAGAATCTGTACGCCTTCATTTGTTTCCTCAGGGAGGTTAATCAAAGTGGGGGCCGCGTCGTCAGCGAAAACTAATTTGATCTAAAGTTGGCGGTTCGCGGCCGAGCTATTTGCCTCGCCAGTTATCATCCTTAATACAATGTACATAATATCTTCCGAGCCGAGTGAAACTTCGATAATAAGGCTGGATGTGTCTTAGAATTACTTCGAGACTAGTTACCCCGTGCAGGGTATGAACTTGTCTGAGATCGACGAAGTCAAATTAGTTTAAAAGACATAGGTAGGTAATTGTAAAAAATATTAATGAATCATCCTCAAAATGAATTAGTGCTTTCGTTTGGTTTTTTTAGTTGCAACTATCACGGTCATAATTTTTAACAACATTTAACCGACTATATTTGAGAAATAAATTGGACTTAAATGGATCATGTTTAGAATCGCAGTTTACATTTAAATAAAGTTATGATATTTTCTAAGGATATCAAAAAGTTTTCCAAGAAAACGAATCATAGATCAAACCAACATCATATTAATAAAACCTTCATTCAGTTCTGCTCACATTCAGAACATCGTAAATTCAAGAGAGTACACGCACGCAAGCAATTTAAATATGATATCGCTAAGTACGGTGCGATTCAACCACCGTGGCAGAAACTACTCCAACTTAGAATATCGGCTTAGAGCGCCCCGCTTGAAATATGGCCAGTCAAAGATACCTCTGATGAGTAAGGTATTCGCTTTGAGCAGAGATTGAGCATTCTTGGGTGCGTTTTGAATTATTACACGGCGTACGCTTAACCTCATATTAAATATTGGTTTTACCCACGACGAGGATCTATCATGCATGAGATTTTTATGAAAACGTTTTTGATGTCTGAGACTGCGTAGGTTTCCAAACCAAACCGGTTCGGCCAAGTTCTTATTTACGCGTTTATTGCGGGAAAATACTAATGTAATAAATGATGGTAATGGACGTAATAAATCGTGCTAACCGACCTGGGAAATGTTACGGATAAGGTCAATAAATAATTCAGCAGTAAATATGGTACTTACCTTTTTAGGTTTGCCGTTTTTCCTGAGCAGCTTCGCACAACAGAGCCCCCTGGTGTCGGGCAGCGGCGCGGGCGGGCGGCGCGCCCAGCACAGCCGCTGCGGGCTCGCCGGCGCTTCGGCCCTCACCTCCTCCTTATCTTCACACATTACCAACACGAACACCCAACCCTACCCTACATCACCCTCCAAAAATCACAACCTCCAAGATATCGATTCTTTATGAGAACCTCTGGCATTGTTTTCCCCTATAAAACTACCCCAGATAAAACTACAGCTATCTCTCTAATATATTTTGAACGAAATAGCCGCTATTTGGCAAGCCTTCTGCTTTACAACCTAACTTATTTTAGTGTAGCTTTAACGTGACTAAATTCGAAGCGTTTGTACTATTTTTAGATTATAACTAAAACTGAGTGGTAACTAAGTTATTGCTACTGTATATCCGGGAAACGTCCGATTCAGCATCTGAAACAATGAAAAATATTGATAGACAAATTAGAAGCATAAAACTTCTAAAAAGTTAAGAGAAGATTATTGAGTATTTTATTTCCCAAAAGTGAAATAGCACAAATACAGAAAATGAGAAGAGCATTCCAAAGCACAGAGGAGAATTTTTGGATGTTAGGGAAAAAGATCCATTTGGTCCGCTAATGAGTTGTCAAGGCTGCATAATAAAAATATGGGGTGACGTTATTACGAAATTAAGGAATGCCTTCCTGTTCTCCGACGTTTGTTATGGGTTCTTTTTATGCGAAAAGCTCAGTTAAACTCAAGGGAAATAACTAAGGAATTAAAATTCTAAATCTCACTCGTTAAACTGTAAGCTCAAGATTTTCACGGAGACTTTGTTGAGTTTATAGCCATCCCGAATTTCCGTGTTTTGCAACAAATTAAGGCCTGTTTAGTGTTTATAGTCTCTTGGGAACTTATCTGTCAGATAAGCTACTTACAACTATTGATTTTACAGGTTGTTGGAGTGATCTGAAAGTTTGTACGGAACTAGCACAAAGATTTCTTTTGTTTTTGTTTATACTACCTAGGTATATTCAATTAGCATCACGAGTGATAATGGTCATACTGTCAGTATAAATCCTATGTCCTGCTTACTGGTTAGAAGAAACAAAGTTAAGTTGCGATGTGAGAAGTTGTGAATTTATGTCAGTGTGTTAAAAAATATTGTTGAAACTGAAACCTGGGACGAGTATATCACTTTAAAGTTTTAACAAGGCTCGAATTATTTCTATATGTTACGAGTAAAGTTGTCGTACAATGGTGTAATAAAAATAATTGTTGTAGCTATGTCATCCCGCGGTTGTCTAACAGTCGAATACGAGTTAAACTATCGCTGAAAAAAAGTCGCAGAGTGTAAAGGACATAAATATTTATGCGACATATTCCTCGCAAAAATACCAATACGTCACCAATTTATTTATTTTCGTCAATTTTCCCGAAACAATACACTCGCAAACCGAATTTCCTTGCCATCCTGTCTTCGCACGGAACGAACTTACTCCTATTTCCATATAATTTGAGTTGCCGGATTCGCCGTGGAGTGTAAAGTAAAAATGTTACTTGTGGCCGCCCTGATGAATATTAAGCGAGACACGACTACTTAATGAATGCAGCAACTTGCTCTACATAATTATGGCAAGCTCATTGAATTCTTTGCCAACTTCTGCCGCCACTCGTTAAAATTCTTGACGCTTGTTTTAGTAACAGGGAATTGCTGTAATTATATCAATCAACCTTGTTTATAACTTATGTTGTTTGAGTTAGAGGTAATGAGAGAGGTAAACTCGGCTCCCAAATTATAGGTATGGTAATGAAGGGAAACAAAAACTTTTGTAATGTTTAATAACTTTTCGCCGGAGTTATTTTTAAAAGTGTTTTAATTATTCTTCTTAACAGATGAATTTTTGGCAGCTAATAATTTTATACAGGAAGCTTTAAAGAGAGGAAGAAAAATTCAGGGGTGTATTTCAAAATGAGAGTAAAAATATTTTTTGTTGACTGAACTACACTATCATGATAACGTAGTAATTTCGTAGTCCGTAGCACGTCGTAGCGCTGTAGCTACGAGTACGACCTAACACATCTAATGACATCCATATTTTAAAAAGCTTTTAAGATCTAGCAGTATATTATGCCTTGTTATATTATTTTAATTATTTTGTTTTTTTTTTTATAAAAAAGGATCTACAATAAACTTTTTACAAAACTTTTTATTCTTCTTTATTATATTACATGAAGCACGCCTCTTATTGAAATTATTCCTACCGACGAAGAGTGACAAACAAAAGCAATAAACTCCTGAAGTTGCGTTCATTTTCAATTTGGTTAATACAACCAGTTCATTACGAGTTGGTATACGTGGGCGCATAGTTCACACCGGCTCTGGATCCATTCCAACGGCTAATATCCCATTCTGTTTGTCTTTCGAGGCAATAAAATGACTTTTATGCAAATCATACGAATTCTATACATTTTTGATGAGCCACCCCGACGCATTTACTTCGTTTAATTAATACATTTTTCCATCAAAACTTCAGAGTTTGAGTAGTAACTGATTAATTTTCAAAGAAGCTTCTTGGGATAAAAATAGCAGGAATCGATCAGTCTTGTACAAACAGTATTTTTAGATAGTGACCGAGTCTGTGGATTCCATCATTGCATCAGTAATGTAAAAATATGGACAATGAATTTGATTAAGTTATTTACTTAAAAAATATTTCTCCTTACATGCAAAGATGTAGTACATCTTTCCAAGCCCAGTCTTTTTAAAAACTAATGCACTTTTCTAGCAAAATACACGTTATTTTCCATATTTTTTGCTCGACCCATTTTCAGAGCATGTTGTGTTAGAAAGCGTTCGGTTTATAATAAACTAGCTTTCCGCCCGCGGCTTCGCCCGCGTGGAATTTTGTCTGTCACAGAAAAACTTTATCGCGCGCGTCCCTGTTTCAAAAACCGGGATAAAAACTATCCTATGTTCTTTCCCGGGACTCAAACTATCTCTATGCCAAATTTCATCAAAATCGGTTGCGAGGTTTAAGCGGGAAAGCGTAACAGACAGACAGACAGACAGACAGACAGACAGACAGACAGAGTTACTTTCGCATTTATAATATTAGTTGGGATAACAACGTATTCCCGTCGGCCGCTACGTGGTACTACGTGAAAAGAAAAAGTCAACAAAGTGTTGTTCGTAGGATGAACTCGGCGCTTTGATGCGGGCTTACAAAATAAAATAAAACACGTCGATGTGTTTTCCTTATTACGGAGAATTATGCCAATCATGTAATGTTCTTTGTAAGTATTTCTAAGTACATAATACAGTTCAGTTATGATGATCAGATTTCATTGTTATGCTCCTAATTGGATTTGAAAATAAGTCAAATATGGACTAATCCTGCCACATAACAAAGTTTATTTTATTAATACTTTTTCTTTACGTTTAAGCCTAGACTGTAAACTCTTTGATACCAATTACAAATAAATAAATTTAATTATACATTGTTTCCCAAATATCATAAAAAGACTCACTCTTGTTGCAATACCCTAGCAGGGTCCATGTTATGGGTCTATGTCTATATGTAAGAACCTTTGTATTTATGCCAACATTGGAGCTATAAAGATTTGAATTTGTTCAACTTCTTAATTTCCATTTAAAAGCCACTCACCTACAGCTTACCAAAACTCTCATAGGCTTTAAAAATATTGTTCCTTTACAAAACTTTCTCCAGACGTAAAGTGCCTATTTGTAGTCATTAACGACGTCGGATCAGGCACTTTTATCTTAAAGTGGTTGGTTTGTGCGTTCGTGTGTGATCCGAGTTGCGAACTCGGGGTATGCGCTCCAAAGCGAATGGCATTCGAAATGAGCGCTCAAGTAAAGTAGACGCGTAACGAGCTTTATTCGGTTTGCCTACGTCATTTACTGCTTTTTTCTATTTTTTATTCGTATTTCAGTGGGTCTAGACAAAGTGCAAATTATAATCGCAAACCAGTCGAAAAGTGGTCGAAAAGCCCCTTTTTTGTATGGAGTTTTGACGTATTCGATTAACGATTCGATCAAAAAGTGCGTTTTGTCTAGGGGGACAGATATCGTAAACCTTAAAGTCAGGCTGAGTGCACCATACGTCATACTCCATACAAAAACACCGGTTATCTAAATCATCGCATTTTACTCTACAGTTTAAAATCTTGAATGAATTGCTAAATGACAATATTAAAAAGTATGACAGCAAGTCGATATTTGGGGTCATTAGTCACCTTCAAGAGCTTGAAAGTATTGAAGCATCAACAAAGAGTGTCTCAATGCAAAATGAAATATTTATAAGACATCCTTTTCTTTAGAAATGCGTCGCCTTTTCCCAATTTTTTTTTTTTTTTTTTTTTTATCCACATTATTACCTACCTACTTTTATAATTTATCCTAGATTTTTTGTCATTATTTTGAACGCAAATAAAAGATATTCTGTTATCTATAATAATTCCGTAATCCTAGAGCACTTCACGAACTAATTTGTTTAAAAACAAAACCTGAAAAATGCCAACAGACTGCACGGAAAGTCCGATGACTGTTATATTTGTTCAAAACATTCTTACCGGGCGATTCACAGAGCGAGGCTACATTAGCGTAACACCGGCGAACTTTTGACAGTTCTAATTTCGACTGTGGTGACGAGGTACGAAACACGAAGTAAGTTTGCGAACTTTCGCGGCGCGACACCAACAGCTCGACAGGGGCGGTCGACGCGAGAGCCGCAGCCGCTCTGCCGGGCGGGCGGCGAACGCCACGTTTATATCGAGACAGGTTATCCCGATTCCCGCCTTCACCCTTTCTACCCCCAAGCCTCCCGTATAAACAACGAATTTGTCAGCAAAACTCCTGTAGTGAACGTTTATGACGCGGAGAAGTTGAGCAGTGCCAACTCGAAACGATTTAAAATCACAGTTACGATGTTTTAAACTCGGATCAGTGTGTGATAGATTTATGGGATTTTTTAAAATTATGTGATGTAAAATTGCTTTGACATATTTTTCATAAAACAATGGGTCCATGATTCTAAAATTATAGAAGAAAGCTATTATAACCATAGGTAAATCGATAATGATTACTGTGAGGCTCTGTTACGGCTATTATCCTTAAATCTGTAAATCAATTACCTATTACCTACCGCACGTGTATCAAGATAATTGAAACTGCTGATTAATAACAATATCGTGAGATATTAGCCCAGGTAATCGGATATTACGGACACAAACTTATGTAGATTTGTTTGTGATCATTGATAGAGTTTCAAGACAGTGTCCTTTGAAGTTGCTTGTTGATTTTGTAGTCCTCTTCTCACTCTCGTTTTAAGCTAACTTTCAACATTAAAATCTAATAAAAAGTTTTGTCTGAAATCTTTGTTTCTCGAATTGCTTGTGATGAAAACATCAAACTCATACCGTATTTCGGCTCGAGAATATTCACTTACAAAAGTTGGAAAACCGAGTATGAGGAAACACGAACAACAGGAAAATGTTTCGCATCCGAAAGTCACATCTCATGTACAAGTCACTTTGATAGAAAACAGTTGGCTCATTATCATAATGTAGTGGTGGAATAGCAAATAACTCTAACAATAGGCGGCTGACGCTCTTTGTATTGGCCAGAACAAAAGGTATTTTGTTTACGCTGATAAACTAAGCAATATTTTGGGGATAAATACAATATTTGCTGGAGATGGATAAGTAATTTATTCGTTTGTTTCAGCCGAATGACGTCCACTGCTGGACAAAGGCCTCCCCCAAGGATTTCCACAAAGACCGGTCCTGTCAAAGAAGTAATTTATAAATGTTACTATTAAGTAGGTATTTACCGTTCGAATACAAGCCTTTGTTTTAAAAAAGATCAGAATATTATACAACCTATTTCAAAAAGCTCAATACTTTTTCATAGTGTTATTATCTATCAATAATTTTCATGATTATTTTTACTACTTACATCCGATTCCGAAAACGTAGCAGTTTCGTAGTAGCCTACGCTCTACAAACTGAACTAGGGACTACGAAATTCAGTCGTAGTTGTAGGCTTGGTTTTTTTTTTTTTTTTTTTTTTATCCACAACGAGGAAGCTCTTGGTCTGTATCTCACCTGATGGTAAGTGATGATCAGGCCGAAGGTGGAAGCGAGCTTCACCCGGAATCCTCAAACACGGAGGAACTGGCTATCTTACCTCTAACTGCCGGAACACAACAATGCTGTAAACATTGTTGTTATGGCGACAGACTTAGGTAAGATGGTGGTAGCTAGCCAGGCGGACTTAGAACAAGCCCTACCACCAACCAAACCGAACAGAAAAATCTGCCCCCACTGGGAATCGAACCCGGGACCTCTGCGTCTGAAGCAGGTGGTCTTACCACTAGACCACAGAGGCGGTTCCACAATCTGCTACGTAATGTACGAGTACATGCGGATCACAGCATATCAAGCTGTACGTACGTACACTGTGGCATCATGTGTAGCTATACATATAGTTGTAACAAGTGCTTTTTGGCAACCAAATGGATAGTCTGATGGGCTGGAGATTATATCGCTACGGAATCACTCAAGCTCCGGTACGGTTTTAATAAACTGTGGATTTGGCACTGCACACTGGTAAACTTGTTAATAGATTGTTGCACTATAAAATATGATGGCGTAAAATTTGATAGACTATTATGTGTAGAATCGAAAACTGTATTTAATTTAAAAGTAATACGTATTACTGTGATGGAGTGAAACTCTATACATATTATAGTGTTCCTTCAAGTTGCTTGTAATTTGTACAACATTTTAATAATTTCTAATTACGACAGTTAATTACCAGCATCCAAATATTTAATGATTTCAGAGGCAATTTAAATATTAATTAAGTATAAGCGATGACATCTTAAGAAACATGGGCAGGCTGTTACCTGGCACCTGCCTTTCAATTTGAGCAATTAGTATAAGTTAAATTTGACATCAGCGTGAAGCGGCGACGCGTTTCGTGTTTTATCATAAATATTCATGTACTTTGCCTCATCCTTCACGCCATCCAGTTCCGGGGCTACAGCTTACGCTCACTGATTTTGGGAATACAAAATTTTGCTCAAAATAAATTTGCGCTCTTTTTTTTAAGTTCTACGTATACTTACTACTCTGACAACACTTCTGGTGATACCTAGATGCCTAATATCCTATATTATTAATAGGTAAAGATTGTATTTATATAGGTGACCAGGTCAGGGGGTATTGAGATTACTGTACAAAAGTCTATCATTGATAAAGAACTTAACATTCTTATAGGCCCAATCTTAAGTCCGGGGATATTCCGACTATCCCTTACTGTTTCCTCGAGTACCTATGTACCTATTTCTGCATCATAAAAACATGTGGAACCCCGAGAAAGACTACCTACTTGTAAAGAGAAAAAAATATCCGTTTTAGACCTCATTTCATCAAAAGCACATAATGATGCGATTTACTTTAGTTAGGCGATACATAAATAAAAATTACCTGTATGTATGTACTCACGAAAAAAAATATACTTTTAGGTAGACAAGCATATTACGGCTAAATACTCAGCCATTAATCAATAATAAGATAGGAAGAAGTAGTGATCAACAATAACGGGAGAAGTATTTAGGCTCGTGGCGCGCACACGTATCTATATTATAGCTATAAGTAAGCGTAACTCACCTTACGTCCCCTCACTTTCGCTTGCGATCACATGTTTCTCAAAAATAAAGCCTAAATTCAACGCATACAGCAACAGTGAGCACTAAGCACGACAATAAACCCACTTGTAACCACAACTTAATTCACAAATACAGTTTGTTTACATGAATCCGTGCTAAATAAAATAAAATAATATCATGTTGTGTTAGGGCGGGCTCGCAGCGCCGACTAGCGGTGGGCGCGCGAAGCAGTCGCTAGGGCGGCCGTCACCGGGCACCGAGGGTGTAGACTCCGATATCCTCTCTCTCCCTCGCACTTATCCGGATTTAATTGTCGCAATTCGCTATCGCGTTACGCAAAAACGACGCTTTTATCAATGACATAGGAAACATAATATCTACGTACGCCGAGCGTACACTGCCGCCCGGATTCGCTCGTGTAGTGGCCTTGAGAGGGTCCTGATGTTTTCATCCCGCGCGCGTAATAAAGCGTTTAGGGTGGGGACAAGTGACTTTAGGTGAAGGATTTATGAAGGAATCTCTAGAATTAATTCGGCCGATTGTGGCACTCTCGCTTTTCAAGGGGTGACGAGAGCAGCGCATTTGCATAATTTTAATAAAACAATGTGCGGTAATTGGCTCTACCTACTAGATAAGGGTATGCTACTGTTTACACAAGTTTGTATTAGTGATGTTTTCATTTTAAATCCCGGGCAAATATTTATTGATTTCATTTTAGTGATGGTCAATGTATGGAAAAACGTTTACGGTTTGTTACAAAAGTTGGTAAGTACGTCAAAATATTACGAAAAATACAGAAGAAATAATTCATTTCATATTCATATTCTACAAACTACTTACTTAGTTTTCCCTGGGCCCACCAGATCATCATCTAATGAATTCTAGTGGAACAATATTAAGCTACAAAAATTAATGTATTATGTATTAGAATGGAAATGACAATGGTATTTTACAATAATTATATGATTACATCACTATACTACTTACATACTAGGTAGAAAAAGAAGATATAAGGCTGAATGAAATTATAAAGAAAGTAGAATTTACGTAATATTTTATTTTAAAAATATCGAAGAAATATTAACAACAATAGCTGTGGAAACATAACGTAGAAATATTTATCTGTACTTTGTGTTACAATTTTTTTAAGTAAAAATGTTTTGCGTTTTTTTTGTGTTTTGAAACAAAGAAGCCAGCAAGTGAACTAAAATTTATTTTGTTTTGCTCAAAAAATAGGGCACTCATTGTACTTGATGCTAAAAACAGTGGTAAAGTATTTATTTAGATTTTATAAATGTATAACATGAGATATATTTTACTCGATCTTAAGCTTTTGGCTGGATTGTTTCAAATTAATTAAAATTACACTTTAACCAATGAGCATAGGCTCTAGTTTTCCAGATTTATGTAAGGCGCTCACATCCGAGCCACCTCCTACACAGTTCCCATTGATGAATACTTGAGGTACCTATAACAGAAAAAAATATAATTAAACTGAGCACAACACATTATCTACAAAACACGGTTCAGTTTTTAAGTGATTCGGGGATAACAATGAAATAACCACAAAACAAAAACTAGATAAAGATGATTTTACACATTATCAGTTATGCAAACAATTAGGTAGGTATCGTCTAGTTTCACAGCAATAATATAAAGTTCATATCAGTCTGTGGTGAATTTGTGGTAACATTTTATCATGTACCAAAATAACATGCCACATTGTCCAACCATTACACAAGGTTAAAGATATTTTTATTTATTTCAATTAGTTTTTAAAATGGCAACAAAGTATGGCCAAACATGTAAACCTAGAAACAAATAATAGTGGTAATAAAATTGAGGTTCAGGCGAATTTGTGTAAAAAACATAAATTAAAATGATATGATGCGGGACTAATAATAATGAATGAATTCCAAATAGAGAAATTGACAAGTGTTATGAACAATATAAATGTCATGCGTGACTTGCGAGAGATTGGAATAGATTATAATAAATTGATCAATTCTATGTTTGGGATCATTTTATCAAGTAAACATTATGTTTGTACTTTGCACAGTTATGTTATTGGTATCTATTACTCTTATCAAATACAAATTGGTGAGATTTATGTGACGATAGTGACTTTTGGACGTTCAAACTATATTTATCTAACAATCACAAGAGCAATAAACCTTTGAATATACCTTCTAACATGAATAGATTAGATAAATATGATGTTGAGGACTTGTTTGAGGTTACTTACGGTTCTAAATCCGGTTATTTGCGCCAGGTTATCCTGGATGGCGTCTCCGTCATTACGCTCGTCAAGTTCGTAAACTTTGATTGGTTGTTTGACCTTGCCGAATACCTGGAAATGTTACACCACCATAACATGAAGCCAGAATGATCTAGATGGAGCTAGAAAGATTCCCATTTAGCAATGACTAACAAAAGTGACTCATTTTACTATTAAGAAAAACTTAGCTCTTTCATCCTGCTCACAAATCAATAACTCAGTAAATACTCACATCTTTAGCCAGTTTACAGTAAGGGCAGTAGGATTTCGAAAAGATGACCACCTTGTCTTGACTAATAACTGTTTTGATGAATTGCTGAACGTCTCCGGAACTCGCCATTTTTGTGGTTTGAACGATTTTGCTGCTTCGAGTGCCCATTAAATTCCAAAAAATTGTGATTGTGACAGTGACACACCTCTGACAGGGCCAGATGACGTTAAACTGACATTGACATTTTTTTTTTTTTAATTCCTTCCTGGCCTGGAAATTTGTACCATTGGCCGAATACTTGTAAGTTGTCAATATATTCTTTCATGTCGTTAAAATAAAATGTTTGCTTCCAGTTTGCTTCTTCCATAACTGTGGCTTCTTCTTTACACAGTTTTGAACTTTAAAATTGACAAACTAAAAAATGTTACCAGATACATGCAATGGGATATTAATACAACTGTTTATTAGCGATTGCTGATTATTTTATAATTGAATTTTGAATTTATCGTTCATAATTTTAATAACTAGCTTTTGCCCGCGGCTTCACCCACGTAAAATTTAGTTTGTCACAGATCGTCATAAATAATAGCCTATATGTTATTCTGAGTTATAAACAACAATACTGTAGTTTCATCAAAATCAGTTCAGTAGTTTTTGCGTGAAAGACTAACAAACATCCAGACATCCAAACTTTCGCATTTATATTTTAGTAGGATAGGATACTCAATATAGGATTTATATTTTTTTTTTTTTATATTTTATGGATATTGCACATAAAATAAAATAAGTATTCGATTTCATCTCCAATTTTATTTAAATGTGTTTCTTATACTTGAAAATTAATAGACATGATTAATTAATTTTAAAATTTTAAAACCATTTCGTTTTCTCAATCTTTTTATTTCAATATTTTTAACTTAATTATACTCTAGTAATTGTTTGTTGATGATAAAATAATATCTCACTCAAAATATTAATTCAAAATAAACTGCTGTGCACACTGTTTTTTAGTTTGGCAATACTTTTAATCGGTCCGAAACTCACAACTTAACAAAATAAAACAGTCCGATCCTATCTCGTCACCGTCGTGGCAGAATTAAATAACTGACACTTTTGGCAAAAACCACTTTTTCCACTTTTTGTATAGTAGAAAGTGTTACCTATATTTTGGTCTTACTCTCGTAGCAATATCTATGATATTTCCAAAGATATCTTCAGTTTAGTGAAACTATAGACCATAAATTACAACTCTGTTTGTTGTAGAATTTACGTGGCAAAACTGAATAAGTGACTTTATTTAATTCTGCCACAACTCACTCCGAAACATTGCTTCAAAATACTTGTACTAAGAAAGTCAATAAGTGACTTTATTTAATTCTGCCACAACTCGATCCGAAACATTGCTTCAAAATACTCGTACAATTGTGTTTTTGATTTATTTCATTTTTGATTATTTTACTTAAAATGTTACTTTTAATTTCAATGTTCATTACTCAGATGTTGAATCTGGATAGTTACCTTCATCATCATCATTATTTCAGCCATATAGGACGTCCACTGTCGAACATAGGTCTCCCCCAATGATTTCCAATATGACCGGCTGGTAGCGGTCTGCATCCAGTGCTTTCTTGCTACCTTTATGAAGTCCACGTTGTGCTTTCCGGTACGTGCCCTCCACTCCAGAACCTTGCTGCCCCATCGTCTGTCAGTTCTGCGTACTATGTGCCTTGTCTCTTGTACAGAAAAACCGAGCATAGCCCTCTTCAAAACGCACGCTGTGCAACTTTGAGCTTATTTATAAGGCCTATAGTTAGAGGCCGCGTTCCCGAGCCGTATATCATCAGTGGTAACACATACAGATTGTAGATTTTCGTCTTTAGGCACCGAGATATTTTGGATGAAAGGATGTTGTGTAGTTTCCCGAACGCTGCCCAGCCGAGTAGGATTCGACCTCTTTCAGACCGTTTCAGCTAGGTAGAGACCTAGCTGAAACGTTTGTCCGAGGTAGACATACTTGTCAACAATCTCGAGATTCGAGCTCCTAACCGAAACTGGGTAGGACGCAACATAGACATTCGACAAAAGCTTCGTTTTTCCATGTTGTTCACCCGAAGGCCTACCTTTTGGGTGATTAAGGTCTTCGAGCATTATGCCGATGTCTTCCAATGACTTTGCCATGACCACACAATATCGGACAATAGGAGTTTGAAAGCGTCTTCCAATGCAGCAGTGAATAGTTTCGGAGATCCGGAGATATAACATCTCTCTCATGCCTCGCTGCATAGGAATCGCCCTCGTACTCCACTCCTGTACTCGGACCAACATGGTGGCGTGTACAAGCACTTCAGCACCTCGATATGTACCGATACTTTTCAGAAACCGGCTTGTTCGGGAGGCTGGAAGTCATCGACCCTACGCGCGAGATCATTCGTGATAACTTTCGAAAACAGCTTGTAGACATGACTCAGAAGCGAGATTGGTCAGTAATTCTTCAGCAAGGTTTTATCCCCTTTCTTGAAAAAGAGTACCACCACGCTTCTGTTCCATGCCTCTGGCGTTGTTCCCTGGAGTAAGACGAAGTTAAATAGTCTCTGAAGGACTTGACTTTAAAATCGATGTTCCACCCGCGTTCAGAAGCTCCGAGGTTATTCCGTCATCCCCCGTTGCCTTGTTGTTCTTTAGGTGTTTGATAGCCATCCTAATCTCGTATAGGCTGATAATGCTGATATCCACAATATCTTCGTCGAGGTATATAGCTGTCCATAAAACTTTTCAATCCCACCCAGAACCTCGGCTTTTGTTGACGTTACACTACCTTCCGCAGTCTTCAGCTTTGTCAGCTAGCTTCGCCCAATAGAGTAGTCTCTTGCGAACACTTTGGAGCCTTGGTTCCGCTCTATCGTCTCTTTAATACTATTTGTATTAAAGTTGCGAACATCATGTCGGAAGGACTTCCATATCTGTCTATTAAGCTGCCGATGTGCCTTAGCGTCAACGGAGATCTGCAGAGACATTGAATGTCGTTCTGCCATGACGTTGAGGGTAAGGGATCCCTATGAATCCCTATGAATCCCTAGGGAGAGATCCCTATGACAGTTTTATTGTTTTTGGATTATTTTAATTTTGATTTTCATTTCGATGTTGGTTCTTTCAATTGTATTTCAATGTTATAGGAATCTGATGTTTATGGTTACCATACCAATTTGTTAAACATTTATAAGTATTAAATAGGTAGGTATATTCTAGTATTATTTAACAATTTTACAGATTTTGACTAAAATTGCATTGACTAAATAAATAAAATTAAATGAATAAATCAACATTTAGGTCAATAAAAGTGTGGCAAAATTAAACAAGTGTACTTATTCAATGGAAATATTCGTTAGTGTAATACCTTGGTTGTGGTAAAACTAAATAAGTGACATACAAAAACTAAATAACTGCAACTTTTTTGTAAAATACGGTTGTGGCAAAACTAAATAATTACATTTTTATTTTTTTATTTAAAATAATACAAAGTAACATCATCGAAGAATATTGAATTAATAAAGGTAAATTTGCTGTATAAAATATCAAAAGACCGAGTAAAATATTTTTACCTTTAAAAGTTATCGCCATTTTTAACGAAAAAAAATACAAAAACGTGAATATCTCGCAACTTTGGTTTTGTCAGTTATTTAATTCTGCCACGACGGTGACGATCTCTCTGCTCACATTATAACGAAGTTTCATAAAATAATCTGACTATAATTTTATTTTCCTACAAAATAGTTAGTTAGACAATTAATAAATACAGGGTAATTTTGTAATGAGTATCCAAATTTTTTAATAAGCTCTATAGATTAAAGTTATTATATTTTAACGTGGTATTTTTTGCAAAAAAATATATTTAAAATCTAATTCGTGGGTTATGTTTCAAAGGTTTAGGATTACATAATTATTGTTTCGCACACCATTATGTCTTTAACCTTTGCATTTACTTGTGTGTAGCTATTTTTCTATGAACGAAGTAAATCATCCACTTTTGTTCCAATTTTGAAACCGCGCGCAGCGGATATTAGAAAAAAATGTTCTTTGGGTCTAGACAAAGTGCAAATTATAATCGCAAACCAGTCGAAAAGTGGCCGAAAAGCCCCTTTTTTGTATGGAGTTTTGACGGATTCGATTTTCGATTCGATCAAAAAGTGCGTTTTGTCTAGGCGGGCTTTACGTAAATCGAATAGTTACTGATTCTGAGTCGCTTCTAATGGATTCGTTCGTTCGTTCGTTCGTTTCAGCCGAAAGACGTCCACTGCTGGACAAAGGCCTCCCCCAAGGATTTCCACAAAGACCGGTCCTGCGCCGCTTGCATCCAGGTACTTCCCGCGACCTTTACCAGATCGTCGGTCCACCTCGTCCGAAATACCGCAGTGTCTCAAGACAAAAGTATTTGACCAGTGTGTGTTGCCAGTGATGGTGTATGGCTCTGAGACGTGGTCGCTTACTATGGGCCTCATAAGAAGGCTCAAGGTCACCCAAAGAGCGATGGAGCGTGCTATGCTCGGAGTTTCCCTGCGTGATCGAATCAGAAATGAGGAGATCCGTAGGAGAACCAGAGTGACTGACATAGCCCGCAGAATCGCTAAAATCAAGTGGCAGTGGGCGGGGCACATAGCTCGAAGAGCTGATGGCCGCTGGGGCAGGAAAGTTCTTGAGTGGCGACCACGAGCTGGAAGACGTAGCGTGGGCAGGCCTCCTAATGGATACTGATTGCAAATTCACCCTGTTATAGACAAAATAGGTACTAAAACATCATCTTCTTTCAATTTTAATTATGTGACCGTTGATCGGAAATAGAAGAATTTCAATCTTGAGGCGGTCGATTGTATTAGCTTCTATTTTGTAAGACCTCACTACTGACGAGATGATACTCTTCATTATCAGCATTCCGAAATTGCGCCCTGCAATGAGAATACACAATTACATAGGAGTATTTATAGGTAAGTGCTGATATTAAGTTTAAGAATACCTACTTGAAACTCCTCGTTTGAAAGTTAAATTTCGCTCAAAATGAAAACGTGATTTGCTTTGACAGGGTTACAAAGAAACCCCTCGAAGACTTTAGAGCGCACCTTACCTGCCTACTTACTTACGTAAGTATGTATTTAAATCCATACTATAAAAATGATGACAGGCTAATAAAATTCAAGACTTGTTGAAATCACAATAGACAATTCTCGGTTAATA